CGCTCTTTTATCCAAATGGGCAATCAAAAGACAGCAACCAAAACCGGCGCACGAAAGTGCTTGATTGAGGGTTGTAACAACTGAAACTGAAACTTTTGGCAAGTAGTGATCCTATCGACATTTCGCGGACTGTATTCGAATGAAATATGTTACGTGCTTTATTGTTCGATATCAGAAATCTCAGTTCAAAGACTGGACCTGCCCAGAACATCCTAACGTTCTGAACAATAGTGCCCTTCACAGTAAACTGTGTTCTGAAAAGTACAGCACATTTCAAGTTTTTCTGAAGGTGCATTGTGGTAAGCTTTTTTGGCGAGAGCGCTATCAGTGATTATTAGAATAGGTCAGTCATTAGAAACATGACTGAACGCGAAACGATTTTGAAATTCCAAAAGGCGAGCACTTTCCACAAGTTAATATTCGTGGCTTCGCACCGTGATCCCGTCTGTTACTGTTTACACATCTTCTCGACATTATGCGGAGTGGTTCTGGGTTACAACCTGGAAGTAACTGAAGGTTTCCCCTGATGGGTAGGGGAACTAGTATAAGACAGATACCAAACAAAATGCTGGGGCATAGTGGTGGCCGCGTTAGCTTGGTTACGTTTTGGCTTATTGTAGTCTGCCACCGTATAAATTTGAAATGGATCGAGATCAATCTCCACCGTCGGGAAGGGCCGATGATTTCTCGATGGTACTGGATCCGCGGGAGCTTGGGCAACGGACGGAACACTACATTATGATTTTTTCATTTTCTTAATCGGTGTTCTCGCATTTTCCATTCGGGAAGAATCAAGACAACCCTAGCTATATATGGCAGGATTCTTCATTAGTCAATGCACTTTTCTCTGCAGCTACACATTATCCGTAATTATCTTTTTGGGAAAAGCCTTGTAGGACACGACTCGGTGATAGACTGGCAGAGACGACAGTTATATGCGTGCACGTGATTAATGAGAGCTGTGCGCACAAAAAAACGAGTTACCGAACAAATGCATATCAAACGCTACCACGTGACCTTCAGAACTAACCTGCGAGCCCAAGAGCTTTTAACTGATTCAAGCGATTGATGGGAGCCACGGCACAGGCGTATACCATTGGACCTAATGAAAAAGAGAAAAATGCATCGAGTACGATAGACAAAACTGTGGAAGACGCTGGAAGCCCAAATTAAAGGTGTGGAACAGACCAAAAATTGGCATCGTTTTTGCTTTTTTATGACACACCTTATTGTGATGAACAGCAGAGAGGGCTAACCCCATAGACACGAGGATCCGCTGTTCAGTGGTGGAAACCTGCAACCTAAGCCCGGGACTTGGAGTGGCGAACCATATAAGGCCCCGATAGGTTAGGTGTGGTATTGCACCAGACGACAGCCTACCACCAAAGTTGGGTGGCGGTGGCGGGGCTCGAACCTTAGACAATAGGATCCAAAGCACACCGGTGACAGCGACTAAACCACAACACGGGTGTTCTACCTCTGCAGTCTCGGGTTCGATGGATTTCTACTGCTAATCAGATCCAATCAAGTCGAAACAGCCCTACAGTAATGCCTCACTTTTCAGGTCACACTTTATTTGTTCCGTACACGACGAAACTCACAATCAAATGCGAATATCACGATTTTTATGGAATCATAATCATGGGGTGAGATGACACCTGTATCTAGACTTACAAACAGAATCTATTAGGATCAGAAAACATACGAATATCACAATGATGGGAATCGTTTTGATAGTGTTAGATTACCTTAGCCAAACACTTCGGCATCATTTGAGACATAATCTGAGGAAATATGATAAGGGAGGTCAATGAAAACCCTTAACCGGGGGCATAGACCGATACACATAAAAAGAGACTTCATTTTCAAGCCTTTTCACATACACACAGACACACACAACAATGCGGCTTTGAACACTAACGACCAGCAAGGCGAGTAGCATACGACCGTAGAACATGACCTGCACTCCAAACAAAACTTGGTTCAGGTACTGGTATTAACCAGAGCGAAAATCGATCATACAGATCAAGATGACAACGTCACTGTTCAATGGTCGTAAATTGCGTTATAATTAAACCGGAGGATTCTTACCAAGCACCGGTCCACGACCTGCCTCGTCAATACCGAGCATACAAGCGGCAGAGTGGGACTTCGCATCCAACAGCTGGAAGAAATCAAATTTTGCATTCTTTCTGCACACTTCAGAGGCCTTGGAAAGATGTTCCCGATACAGTTCAGCGCTGTGATTTCCATTTTCTTGAAGCGGTTCCTGTATGGCAGTATTCCCGACATCGGTTATATCGGAATCCGTAGCGGTCGGAACGGTTTTAGATGCATTATCCAGGGAGGATCGTCTATGTTGTTTCAAAGGAGCCTGGAGAGAGAAAATCACTCTTTCAAAAAATGACACACAGAAGTTAAAGTTGCTCTAGATAGGCTAGTTCGAAGAATTATTAAAGTGGTTCATTTTTTTATTATCAGCATTTTTCTACTTGTATTTATGGTGAATGGTCATCGTCACCGTACGGCGAGAAAAAGTGAGGTGAACTTCATCAAGCTCTGCAATATATCATATTATTTATCACCAGTTTGCGAGCAAGCTTAGTGCCAAAGCAACAATAAGAATAATATAACATAACAGAGTAAAAGGGAGGCCAAACAGTTAAGTTGAACCATAATCTGTTTGTTTGTTTGTTTTTTGTTACACGGTACACTTTGTGATATTTTGTGCGTGTCAGTTTATCGTTTTCTTTTTTTGGAGGGGGGGGGCACGGGATTTCAACAATCAGACCGTACAGCATTCGTTCCACTGACTTCTATCTTGAGCCATATCTCTCAGCGTCTCTAGCCAACGGCAATCCCCATACCTTGGGCCTCAGCCTGGAAGGTGAGCTTCAGCGACCGAAGCCAATGCTGAGGCTAACTTCTTCATACCTCTACGTCATGTCATGGTTTGACCACCGCGGCGCTTTCTTCAGCCTTATCCGGCACGTGCAAAAACAGCACGGAAGAGAGGCCGATGGGCAGGCATACGCAATACGTGACCAAGCCATCGGAGGCGGTATAGAGCGATTAATTCTGTTACAGAACGACTATCCACACCCAACATACGACAAAGCTGCTCCTCATTGCTCACAAGATGTTTCCACCAGACACGAGCAATGATTCGGGGACATCGGTGTTCGAATATAGAAAGTCGATTAGCATCCTCAACGCCGATGGACCAGGTTTCTCAACCGTAAAATAGAACACCACGAACCGCGGCGATCTACACCCTTCCCTTAGGGAACAGTCGAATGTCATGGCGGTGTCACAATTGTTGCAGTTTGGTGAAAGCTGCTCTAGCTTTCGCTATTCGTGATGTGATCTCCTCTTCAGCACCAACAATAGCTGCGATCAAGCTCCCAAGGTACTTAAAGCTCTCCACTACTTCCACCTGATCATCGGAAAGGGTGAGAGCAGGCACATGTTCCTTCCAGCCTTGTACAAACACTTTTCACTTGGATGGATACCTCAATCATCATGTGGTCTACAGCGTGCTGGACTGCCTGAACACTGTCACCCAACAAAGCGATGGCATCGGCATATTCTAAGTCAAGGACTCTGTTCCCTGGGAGGAGTTCAACCTCACCGTTTGCCTGACCGGGCAAAGCATTCTGTAGATCCTCTATGACAAATTTGAAGAGGAATGTGGATATAGGGCAGCCTCGTTGAATTTCACTGGAGACGGCGAAGGGTGGCGAAAACTGACGATATGCCCTAACCCGACCTGAGGTATGACGTTACAACTCTTTGAGGTTCGACACATACTTCTCAAGTACTGCATTCCTCAACAAACAGTTCCACAGGGCGGTGCTATCGTCAGGGTTGAAGAACTCGCAGATGTCAAATAACATAATAATCGCTGGTTTTTGATAGGCACGACGGTGCATTAGAAGCTGTCAGAGGGTGAAAATTTGATCAATGCATCCATGACCGGCGCGAAACCCAGCCTGCTCTTCGCGGGTCTGCTAATCACGCGTCGTGGATAATCGGATGAGAATGACGGACGCCAACAGCTTTGACTCTATCGGGATTAGGCTTATTCCCCTACGAATGGCGTAGTCACTTCGCGAGCCCCTTTTGAAGATGGGAACAACGATCGATTCCCCCCACGAGGAGGAGACCTGATCAGTGTTCCACACTTTATAGAACAGAACCTGTAGTTCTCTAACAAGCCTTATTCCACCATTTTTGAAGAACTGGGTGAAGGCCCTCGGAGCCCGGCGCTTTGTGATCTACATATGGATATTCGCTTCAGGTGGGTCTGCTGAGACGGACCATGAGATATGAGACGCATTAGTTGTGAGAAGCTGACGATGGTGGCAAGCTAAACTGTGCCTCAAAGTGCTCAATACAGCGTGCAAGACGTCGCTATTGATTATGAATGGGCAAATCACCGGCTTCACAGATCGTTTCGCTCACACCCAAGACTTTGCTACCGGTGACCTGGATGAGATGGAACAGCTAATGGGAGTTTCCTATGGTGGTAGCACATTCCATCCTTGATTCGCCTTGGGTCCACCACAGTTCGCGGTATCTGGGTGGGCTTGCGTTGAGGTTACAACTCGTATTACATTATGTTCGCTGCCGGTCGGGATTTGTCGGCGTCCGTTCAGAAAACGCAGAGACTCAGATATCCAGGGTGTCGCGACACGACGTATCAGATCACAACTAAATAAACCAGCAGAATACAGAGCATTCTCGAAGAGCGGCCAGTGCTGGTTAATATCATCGGGTGGAGTTGGTTGTAGCTTTTCAGTTAGCGCGTTCTGAAAGCCAGTTAAGAGTGTTTATTCATTCAAATCATTGCAGTTTGACCGCCGTTGTGTCGCGCGGTTAGAACACCCGCCGAAGCACAAGAGCAGCTTGTCGCAAACGAATGTGGTCGGATTCAAGTGGAGTGCTCCAGTACGATCGGTATTCTTGTATGCAGCCCCGCTATTTGTCGCTTATTGCAATGAGTTCGATGTGCGGCAATCGCTGACTCGAGGAGGGGTGGCCGCCAAGAGGCGTACCCGCAGTTGGAGCGTCTGAAGTTCGTACAGGTGACTAATCGGCGGTGGTCGGAAAATAGGGCCAGCAGATGTTCTACGTTTTCTGAGCGACAGGTGTTAAAGCTCTCTTACTGTTCTTTTTGTTGCATAGATTGCTGTTATTCTGGGTGCATATTCTAACATTTTGATTGTCCCGTTTCAGCTCTCATGCCTCGTTTTTTGGTCGCTTAAAGCCTATCATAAAGGCGTTGTTTTCTGGCTAGTCAGCCGACTAAACGTATGATCTGTTACACTACAAGCTCTCAACAATCATACAACCAATTGCGTTACAATTTAATCGACCAATTACAATGGACGGACATCTACGCTCGGATCGTTTCGACACTGATCCGAACATTTTTTTATTACACACTTTCGCGTGGTGAACCCCATATTCAGGAGGATCTGCTGTACAGTGATGGAATCATCATCATCATCATTGTACAGCGTAATACAGTGAAGCGAGCTCCACTGATCGCTGTCAAACTCATATTGCATACAAGGTAAGTGATAACGTGTAGGAAGGGTAGCGATAGAACCTACCTATAGGGATGGGAAAAGAAAGTGAACCTCCGCGGTCAACACAGAATAAACAGTTCCAATGTGCATACATACTGCTTCAAGGATTCCGGTCTGATAAGAAGTGACAACATGAACGCCATTAATATCGGTTCGGAGCCATGACCTTCAGTGTCTCCAACCATGCGGTTGTAGAGTCTTTTGGACTCCACCCGGGAAGAGGAGAGACACCTACTCTACCTAATCACTCTGTGCATTTCTTCATGCCTCGTCTCCCGGTCATCTGCTGGCCTCCACGTGGCTTCCTCCAGCCTGCAACATACACCGCAAATAAGGCACGCTGCGGTAGGCGACCGTCGGACATATGCAAAACGCGTCCTAACCAACGGNTTGAGCTGGATTCAATGCGACAGCAAGTTCTTCTTTGATGTATTCCCAAACACTCGAGGACTTACTTCTAAGTTACCAACCCGTTCACTCCAACCCACTTGGGCCAGACTAAACGTTAGGTAAAAAGACTATTTTTACCTAAAACTGCCCACTTTTCGAGTATTTTCAATTAGGGGCATCTCGAATCAATACTAATCTCGCGGAGATTAATCAATAATATTGTGCCATACGGAAATATTCACTCTGTCCGTCCGTCTGATCCGTGACCTATGACCGATTGAAGTTTGCTGTGTACTTGATTGGCACAATCTTTTTCTTGCATTAATCGATGCCATTTGGAGTCACACATAAGCATCAGAGTAAAACTTGTAAATTGACTTGCTTCCTGTGTGTC